TGACTCTTGATTTCAGCTCAGGTCATGATCTCATGGTTCGTGGATTCAAGCCCCACATCGTGCTCCATGCTGACAGTGAAGACCCTGCTTAGGATTCTCTCTCTGCCCCTCCCCTGCACTCTCTCTCTCAAAATAAATAAATACTTGGGCACCTGGGTGGCTCAGTCAGTTAAGCGTCTGACTTCGGCTCAGGTCATGGTCTCGTGGTTTGTGAATTCGAGCCCCGCCATGGGCTCTGTGCCGACAGCTCAGAGCCTGGAGCCTGCTTCGGATTCTCTGTCTCCTTCTCTCTCTGCCCCTCCCTCACTGTGCTCTGTCTCTCTCTCTCTCTCTGTCTCTCAAAAATAAATAAATGTAAAAAAATAAAAATAAAAAATAAATTAAAACATAAATAAACTTAAAAAAATAAAAAAGAAACAAGAGACCTATAATAGAGTCACTTGTGCTAAACCTCACATCAGCAAACCAAGACTTAATACCTAATTTAATAGCACTGTAAGCCCCTCCCAGGACTGTAATCTTAACCAGTAGGTCTGGAATTTCCTGGTCAGCACTAGTGAGGTAATCCACTTGATAGACTCCCTCCATCCCCCAAAGAAAGATAAGATTATCTGGTTGTTGTGGGGTTTTTTGCCCCCTTCTGTCTATAAAATCCTTCCACTTTTTTACAGCTCCTTGGAGCTCCTTTCTGTTTGCTAGACAGGATACCGCCCAATTCTTAAATTGTTGAATAAAGTCAATTTGATCTTTAAGTTTAATCAGCTGAATTTTGTTTTCGTAACACATCGGAATCACAAGGTAAGCATTTTGGGCAAGACCACGTTGTAAAAGTTACATGTGGCTGCCTAACAAAGTACCACAAACTTAGCAGCTGCGAATAACAGCCACATATGACCTCACCGTTTCTGTGGGTTATGAGGCCAGGCTCATTGTGGCTGGGTTCTTTCTTTGCTCACTCACGAGTGTTAGCCAGGCTGGTATCTCATGGAGCAGCTCACAGCTCTCAGGTTGTTGGCAGAATTAAGCTCCTCGCTGTAGGACTGTGGACCTCAGCTCCTAGAGGCTGCCTCTGTCCATAGGCATTCACAGCATACCCGGTTTCTTTGAAGGCTGGCGGGATAGCATCTTTCCACTGTCTCAAGGCGCTGACCTCCAGATTGTCCTTTAAAGGTTGCCCCTGATTAGGTCAGGCCCACCCAGAATCTTCTCCCTTCTGATGAACTCAAAATCAACTCAAGGGGAACTTAAACACACCTGCAAAATCCCTTCACCTTGCCATGTGGCGTGACCTACTTGCAGAAGTGACATCCATCATACTCACAGGTCCTGCCCACACTCCAGGATGGGGGATTCGAGGGGGTACACATACCAGAGGTGAGACTCTCCAGGCCCGTTTTAGAATTCTGCCACAACGTGTGATTCTGGACTTTGGAGATTTTGGTCGTGAAGTTTGCCATCTGGAAAGGCTTAGATTAGTTCAAAATAGTTACCTTTTGATCATGTCTTTTTAACTTTGCCAAAAGACTGTCCAAAGAAAGACCTACCTATGAATCTTACCATAATGCTATTAAGTTTGTGAAATGGTAAGGAAATTAGTGTTGGTCTAGTGCAATTGTCAACGTTAAGAGCTTTCATTCAATCTGTGCAGATGAGAACAACAAAGAAAAGAAGTTAGCATTTTTTTTTTCACGTTTATTTCTTTTGAGAGAGAGAGACAGACTGGGGGAGGAGCAGAGAGAGAGGGAGACACAGAATCGGAAGCAGGCTCCAGGGTCTGAACTGTCAGCATAAAGCCCTATGCCGGGCTTGAACCCACGGACTGTGAGATCATGACCTGAGCCGAAGTTGGAGGCTTAACAGACTGCCACTCAGGCACCCCAGAACTTAGCATTTTTTACGCTTTATAAAAATAAGAACGAAAGATGTCTGTGGACGGAAGACGTCAGCTGGCTGTCTGCATACAAACGTGCAGGCCCGCACAAACACCCGAGGTGAAAACCTGGCTTGCCGTCTCCTGTTCTCCAAATGAGTGAGGGCTTCCTCAGGGAGATCTGTAAAAAGAATGGAAAACTAAAAGTGATCCTTGAAATGTGAATAGACCCACCCTCCTCGGAGGCGAGGAGGCATAGAGTGAGGACCCCGTGGGGTGTCAAAAGCCCACACGTGCAGTTGGTACTCTAGGACAGTGACTAATAGGTTGCCAGGAGGTGTTGGTGTGAAAATGACTGTCCAGACATCTGGCGGCCTCAAAGGGTTCAGGCCCTCTTAGCCGATGTTCATGCAGGAATGCGCTGAAACTGAGCTGACTGCCTTTCTGGGCTGGGAGCCACGAATCCTGGAGGCTTGCTTCCTCCTCCTCCCCTCCCCCCCACATCTACCAGGCACCACACACAGTCTCTCTGCCTCACCTTCTGAATATTGCTTCCTTCCACCCCCTCCTCTCCACCTCCACAGCTCCCCTCCCTGGTCTAAGCCACCAACCTCCTTTGCCTAAATGATGAAACAGCCTCCCTGCACCCTGCCTGGCTTCCCTCCCATCACTTCCCTGCAGAGCGGCCCCGGGCACTCGCTTCCAAATTCAAAGCTGTTCAAGCAGCAGCTTGCATAAAACCCATTTACACCGCGCTTTATACCGGCGCTGGATGCCAAGACCAAAATTTGTAACTCATCCCATGAGGACCAGTGCTCTGCCTCTGCTGGCCTTGCCCTGCTTATCCTGCCCCTCCCTGCCCCCACTGCCACCCCCTGACTCCTCTGCACTCCCACAACACCGGTGTCTCTGTCTCTTTCTAAGTTCAAGTGCACCACGTTCCTTCCCATCGAGGGGCCCTTACACAGCTGTTCCTCCTGACTTTCATGGCGAATGCCCACACACCCGTTAGAACTCAGCTGGAGTGTCACCTCCTCCGGGAAGTCTTCCTCATCCCCGGCTAGACTGGGTTAAATCCCCCAGGGGGGCAGGTAGTGTTTTCCAAAAATGGTCACGGCAGTATTTCCCGTCCCCTATCCTATTCCAGAATCTGGCCACTGCCCAGGTTCTGGAGTCCGTTTGCCTTCCTTTGGAATTTGGGAGGGACTTTGTAATGGCTACAATGGATATGATTCTGTGTGACTTCTGAGGCCGGGTCAGAAAAGGTGATACGGCTTCCACCCGGCTTGCTCGCTCCTCTTGGGACAAGGGTTCTCAGAACTCAGCTGCCATGATGCTCAGGGTGTGTGTAGGGGCTGCAGGTAGGTGCTTCTGGCAACAGCTGTCTCCACCTACAGCCAACGGCAACTGACAGACATGTGGGTGAGTAAACCCTCCGAAGATTCCAGCCTCAGCTTTCCAACTGCCCGGCTGACACGGAGGGGCCAGTGAAGAGCCTTCCCTGCCAAGCTGCCCAAATTGCAGGTTGCAGAGCAAATAAACGTGGTCATTTCAATCCTCTAAATCTTGGGGTGGTTTGTTACACAGCCACGGTAACTAGAACATAGTAACTGTTACACTTGTACCTTCTCTTTTGAAGTACCTGAGACAGTTCAAACTACTTTTGTGTGTGTGTGTGTGTGTGTGTGTGTGTGTGTGTGTGTGATTATTCGATTCCCATCTTTCCTGAATGGAACCTTCTGTAAAGGCAAAATCTCGCCTGTTTTGTTCACCATTCTAATCCTGACACGGAGCCTGGCAAATGATGGGCTCCCTGCCAAGGTACTCTTGGCTTTCCTGCACCTCCTCGCACATAAAAAAGAGATGCCATGTGGTCATTGATTGAATGTTCATTCATTTGATAAACGTTCATAGATGGGGCTCCATGTCAGGGATTTGTGTCAGAGGTGGCTTTAAAAAAGTGATATGCGAGGGGACGGAAGACAGAGGAGGGGTCAGGTCGTGTTTTGAAGGGTGCATAGGTGTTTTCTGAAGAACAGAACTGGGCTTCTCACCAGGGAGATGACGTGTGCTGATGCATGGGGCCAGGAAGCAGCCAGGTTGGGCTGACATATGACAAAGAGGTTCTGCACAGGGAGAGGGTGAGTATACCTGCAAAGAGAAAAGGTTTGTAAGGGCCAGTTCCTAATGGCCTTCAATGCTGCTATAGGTGCTTAGATTCCATCTCACAAGAAATAGGATGGCGTGGAGGGGCAGCAGCTGTGGGGCCAGTCCCAGTTCTGAGAGCACCAGGGCTAGAGAAAACTGGTTAGAAGGCTCCCTGAACTGGGGCGCCTGGGTGGCTCAGTCGTCAAACATCTGACTTCCTCTCAGGTCATGATCTCCCAGGGTTCATGGACTCCTGGCAACCCTGAGTCAGATAATGCTGACAGCTCAGAGCCTCAGTCTACTTGGATTCATGCCCCTGTCTCTGCCTTCAGCTCTCTCTCTCTCTCTCTCTCTTAAAAAATAAAATAAACACTTATTAAAAAAAAAGAGACTCCTGAACTGGTCACTGGAACAAGTGATGGAATCAGGACTAGAAGTGAAGACAGAAGTGGAACTAAATCAATAGCCAATTAGCAAAATGCACTTCCAGGCCTGGTTGCTGTGTGCCCATGCCCCAGTGTCGCAGCCTATAAAGCGAAGTCCACTAAACAGTTTTCAAACAAATATATCAGGGCCTGCACAGGTCTGTCACAGCTGCTCACCCTGCTGTCGTAGTGCAAAGTAGCCACAGATGGTGGGTACACGGCGGGTGTGCTCACGTTTAGTAAAATTTTAATTTACGAACACTGAGAATTTGAATGAAGAAACTTCACGTGTGCGAAATAGTCTTCTCTTTTGATGTGTTTCCAACTTTAAAAAATGTAAAAGCCGATCTGAGGTTTGCTTGCAGACGGACAAAACAAAGCGGCACGTCTCGGTTTGCTCTCTCCTGCTATATATAAAAAATTTGAGCGTTTCAGTTTTAGCAGATCCCGAACAAGTCCCTCAGCGCCCCTCGCGACCTCAAGCCCCGCCCCTCCGGGAGTGCATGCAGCCGGACTGGGGCGGGGGGCAGAAACAGGCCGCGGCTCCGACTTCCAACATGGCGCACGCTGGCGGCGGCGGCAGCGGCGGCAGCACGGCCGCAGACCGGGACTGAGCGGCGCCCGCTGGGTCGCTCGGGCTCCTGGGCCACGAGAGCTGCCCGATGAGTGCTGTCCCTGCTGCTTCCTCGCAGACCCTGTCCGGCCCCCGCGGATCAGAGTGCCCCTCGCCCGGGCCCCACCCGGCCCGCCTCGGCCTCCACTCCCGCACAGTCCGACCCCAGTCCCTGACCCTTACACTCGGCTGCTCTGAGGCTCGGCCGCCCCCCCCTCCCGCCGGACCTGGAATCACTCCGTCCTCCTCGCCGACCCCCCCATGACCCTCTCCCTCCTCGCAGGTGGAGGACGCCCTCACCTACCTGGACCAGGTGAAGATTCGCTTCGGCAGTGACCCCGCAACCTACAACGGCTTCCTGGAGATCATGAAGGAGTTCAAAAGCCAGAGGTACCCGCGGGACCCCTCCCCACCCCAGGGGCGGCCCTTGGCCGCGATCCGGCTGAGCGGGGTGGGAACCCCCATCCCGGTTTGTCTCTCCGCCCCAGTCAGACACGCAGGTCGTGGAGCCTCTCAGAGCCTCCTTCCTTCTTAAAAAAAAACAAAAAAACAAAAAAAAAAACAAAAAACGGGAGTGGAGAGTACCTCCCCTGTGGAGCTGTTATGGGGATTCCTGGAAGGAGAGCAGGGATGGGGTTAGGAGACAGCGGGAGAGAAGTCCACAAGTGCACAGTGCGGTCCTGTTTTTACTGAAAATGATTTTTCAGTGAATTTTGTTCGTCAAGAATTTTTTAAAATTAATTTTAGTTTTCTTAAGCACTGCATTAAAAGGCTGTTTATCTTGATCATTGAGCGTTTTGGAGCCCTCTCCCCACCCCCCGTTAAATCTTGTCATCAAGGTACCCTAGTCCCTGGCCTGTTGGAAAGTAGTGTGCATAAAATGCTTTGTAAAGGGCCTGGCACATAGAAAGGGTTTAAAACACATTAACTGATTTTGTGGGCACACAGGGGGGTTGGAGATAGATGGGGGACCTCGAGACCACGCCCTCATTTGACAGGGGGCTCACTTGGACTTACAGGGGGCCAGGGGCTTGCCCAGACTAAATTTAGGGATAGTCAGGACTAGAATTTCCTCACTCTGACTCTTAGGTCCCCGCTGGTCACATCCCCACCATGCTGCTTCCCCCTCTTGAGGAAACGTGATAGTGCTGGCCTGGTTTCCTTCCAAGAGAGCCATGCTAGGGTCTCGAGGGAGCCCCGGTGCAGCCATGACGGAGACCCCTGGCATCGTTGTGCAACTGACACTTGCATTGCCTTTGGTATTTATGCCTTGCCATCACTTGCTGGGATCAACACCGGTGTCATAGTTTATCGCATTGCTTAGAGGGCTTTGGCCTCCTCCCTCTTCCTGGAGTCCCGGACTTCCACTCGGCTCTCCTGACATCTTCAGAACCGGATGCATGTGCTTGGAGTGTTCTGGGGAGCTGTGCCATGCAAATGCCCTGTGGTTCTCACTAGGAGGGCACAGCAAGCCGGAGCCTGGCTGCCGTGGAAGCAGATTACACATTACACGTTGGCTGAATCACACCCGGTCACACTGCAGGGTGCCTTGTTGTCCTTCGAGAAGCTCGTTAGGTGGCGCCGTGAAGGGAGTTGGGAGTGGATTTCGCTTTCGGCGTGCTCCCCGAGACACTTGTGCCCACTTCTCATTCTTTTCTGTTCCAGCATCGATACTCCCGGAGTCATCCGACGCGTGTCGCAGCTATTCCACGAACACCCTGACCTCATTGTTGGATTCAACGCCTTCCTTCCCCTCGGGTACCGAATAGACATTCCCAAGAATGGCAAGTTAAACATACAGTCGCCTCTGTCGAGCCAGGTATGCCGCTGCAGGGGTTTGAGGGATGTGGCCTTAACGTGGCCCATTCTGGTACTCAGTCCCCAGGCCCGGTGGTGCGTGTTGTGTCTTACGTTGTGGGAGAGTCAGAGAAGAGCCAGTCTTTTTCCAGACCTGCTGCTCGCTTCTAGCACAGGGCAGAATAGATCAAAATACCTCCACCGCCTGCCTCTTTACCCCCAAATCGATGGATCCATTTGGAGGATTTAAATTAAGAGTGGATGTATGTGCTTGTGTTGGAGGTTTGGGGGGGGGGGCGCATTCTCTTAACAGTTTTATGTCCTGTCAGAATAACCATCCACAGTCACCAAGCTCTTGTCCTGAGGCTTTCCCTGTGAGCGGGCTAGGCAGGCCACACTTGGACTTAGGCACGTGGTCTCTGGGCATCCTAGGTGCCGCCCACAAAATAAAGCAGTTGCGATGCGGGTGTGAATAGCCATGTCAGTGTCGCCGTGCCGCATTTAATTACCAACAGGGCCGCTGGCTCAGACAAGGCTTGTGGCTTTTGTTCCTCCTCTATCCCTGCAGTCCGTTCTTGCCTGAGCTCACCAGACCCCCTGAGAAAATGAAAGCCTACGTGAGCTTTACTTTCATAAAGTAACCATTGTCTTTTTCTCCACCTTGGCCCTGTTGCTATAATGCTATGCTCTTGGTGGGGGGGGGTGGGGCACCTGGTGCATTGGGGATGTTTGGAAGCATCCCGGCAGTCCACCCACTAGGCCCTCACCCAGTGGCAACAGCAAAAAGTGTCACCAGACGTCTCCAGATGCCTCCTGGGAGCAAAATCGCCCCCATCAGGAACCACTGGTGTGTGTGAACCCGCTCTTCCAGCCTCTTCTCTCTCTGCCCCAGGGGTTTGGGTTTTTAGCGGGGAGCGTAAAACATCGACCGCAGGAAGCATTTGGTTGGTTTCTTGGTTTCGCCTGTGATGAAAGAGTCAGATTTGGAAAGAGAACAGCCAGACGCAGTGTGACAGTGACAGCCCTCTCTGAGAGCGAGGTTTTAAAGAGGAACTTGGGAGCGTGTGGCCGCTGAACTCCAGAGCCCTTCCCTTTCGCATTTACGAGTGGGGCCCCACGATCCAGACGTAAGGCTCGTGGGTCCAGACAGCGCAAGCCTGGGTGGGATTAATCTTCGGAACTGTCACAGCTGGCGAGGAGACCAAGCTCATCTGCAGCGGTGTGCACGGGAGCACTTTGACGAGTCCGAAGCGCCATATAAACACAGGGTGTCATTGCCATCACTCACGAAGAAAGAGCCGAGGTCGAAGACCTAAATTGCGCTCCAGGTGTGGAAATCCCCTCTCTCCATCCCCAACCGTTGGAGGAACCCTGCTCGCGGGGCTGAATCTCCGTGTGAACCTGCACGGTGGTTACATTTGGAGGCCGTCCTTCCCGGAAAACAGCCACGAGGCCCTTGCTGTTGTGCTCACTCCATGGAGAGCTGTTACGGAGAGAGCGAGGCCAGCCCAGCCCTTTCTTCCCCGTGACTTAACAGCTACTTAACCCGGCTTTATAATCTCGCTGAAGCCCGGAGCCCCGAAACCAGCATATCTGGAGCCCCCTTCGGCCGCCCACGCCATTTCAGTCCACATTGATTGACCTGCCTGGTTTTCCAGCCCTGCTTTCCGGTGCTCCTTCGGGCCAGGCATAAACGAGGTGGCCTCTTGGCTTCCAAAGCTCGTTCTGAAGTACAGCTTTTTTTTTTTTTTTTTTTTTTTTTTTTTTTCATTTTTCATCTTACAAGTCCCGTCAGCTACAGGCAAGGAAGTAGTAGCTCTCAGATGCTGACAAAGAGAATTAAGGGAGGCCCACACTGCGGGGGGCCCTTTGCCCTTTGTGCAGGTTTCTCAGCCTTGGCCCTGTTGCCCTTGGGACCAGATCGTTCTTTCTGGAACAGGCTGTCCTGGGCACTGTAGGGTGCTGAGCGGCGTCCCCGGCCGCCACCCCCCACTGTGTGACAACCTAGAAGCGTCTCCCCATGTTGCTACGTGCCCCTGTGGGGCAGAATCGTCGTCCTTGAGAACACTAGTGTGAGAGGAGGACAGACAGACACGTGCCATGATGGGGGGGGGGGGTGCGGCCAGAGGAGGGCCAGGGCAGCACGGGGGTCTGCCGCCTCCTGAGCCAGTCATCCAGGCCTCAGTTGTAACGTCACTCCTCAGCCCTCGACCCGCCACCCCCCCCCCCATCATTCTCACATCACCCCATCTCGGGTGTTTTAAAATAGCAACGCTAGGATGTGAAGTTCAAAATGCGCCGTGCCTTGGTTTGCCTGGCCCGGCAGACCTGAGCGCGGGTCAGGCAGGCCCCTCGTCTGTCTGGTTCACAACGATGTCCCCTGTTCCGGGCCGGTGCCAGGTGTGTGTGGGAGGAGCAAGACGCAGCCTGTGGGTGGGAAGGTGATGAATCTCCCAGCTCCCAGGTTCGCTTGAGACCAACCCCGCCTCCCTCCCGGGAGCCAGCCCTTTTATGGTTGGCGGGAGCACAGGTAGCCTTAGTGAACCTTTAGGGGTCGCTCGTACTCTAAGTGGTCCCTTTCCGTTCAGAGGCAGGCCTGCCGCGTTTTCCCTGGGTGAGGGTCATTCGGAAGTTCAGTGAGTTCCTGGCGGGTCATCTCTCTCGTTGGTGTCTTAGTCACTCAGGGGGCAGGTGTAGACCACCTCCTCTGCGCCCAGCGCTGGGGTTTATTCAGAGTCCCTGCTGTCAGGGGCACTTTGCAGGTCCACGTGGGGGACTCAGAGGATACGGGTGGACAGATTAATACCCGAGGGGGTTTAGGGCTGCGAGTGAAGGCAGGGGCAGGGTTTGAGGAGCCGTGGGCAGATCCTCCATGAGCGATCAAGAACCCCGCCTGTGTCTTGGGGTGGAGGTGTCCTGGGTGGGGTTTAAGAGCCTGGGGTGGGAATGAGGGGGCGTGCTTGAGAAACAGCCAGGGAAACTGTGGGGTTGGGAAATAAAGGGGAGAGGGCGGAGGAGAGAGCCAGGAGCATGGGGAACCAGTGGAGAGTTCCATAAAGGCCACCCTGGCTGCGGTGCCAGAAATGGACTGAGGGGGCAAGAGAGGATCTGGGAGGCCATGGAGGGGTCCGTGTGATCCAGGCAGAGTGGGTGGGGAGTCTGTGAAAGTGGGAAGTCCACGGAGGCTCCAGACGGCCTCAGCCTCTGGGTGAAGGTGGCAGGCACTTGCTGAGGTGAGCGAAGCCTGGGAGCGGTCCGGGTGGCAGGGTGCCGCCCTGTGTTTGCGGTATGCTGTCTGATGAGCTGTCTCCTACCTATCCGGGTGGGGCTGTGTGCGGCCACCACTCCAAGGGCTGGCTATGTGGGGCTGGCCATCTGTGCCTAGGAGTATACCTAACCGTGCCTCTTAGGTCACTCAGGGTAAGCAGACAAGAGAAAAACTTGGATTGTTCTGGAAGGTTTAGAACAGGGGTTGGCCCGTGGGCCAAAGCCAGCTTGTATTTGTATGGATAGTGGTTTTTACATGTCCCAGAGATAACATTAAAAATGTTTTAGCAGGGGCACCTGGGTGGCTCAGTCAGTTAAGTGTCCAACTTTGGCTCAGGTCACGATCTCACTGTTCATGAGTTTGAGCCCTGCGTCGGGCTCTGCACTGATAGCTCAGAGCCTGGAGTCTGCTTCAGATTCTGTGTCTCCCTCTCTCTCTGCCCCTCCCCTGCTTGTGCGCACTCTCTCTCTCTCTCTCTCTCAAAAATAAATAAATATTGAAAAAAATTTTTTAGGGGTGCCTGGGTGGCTCAGTTAAGCATCCAGCTCTTAATTTTGGCTAAGGTTATGATCTCACAGTGAGATTGAGCCCCACTTCGAGCTCTGCACTGGGCTTTGAGCCTGCTTGAGATTCTCTCTCTCTCTCTGCCCTCCCCTTGCATGCTCACTCACTCTCAAATCAATCAATCAATCAATCAATCAATCAATCGATCAATCAATCAATAAATCTTAAAAACAAAGATTTTAAGAACACCTGGATGGCTCAGTTGTTAAGCATCTGACTCTTGATTTCAGCTCAGGTCATGATCTCATGGTTCATGGTTTTGAGCCCCATGTCCGGCTGTGTGCTGACAGGTTGGAGCCTGGAGCCCGCTTTAGATTTTGTGACTCCCTCTGTCTACCTCTTCCCCACTTGTGCGCGTTCTCTCTCTCTCTCTCTCTCTCTCTCTCTCTCTCTGAAAAACAAATAAACATTAAAAAAAAAACCCACCAAAGTTTTGAAATTGTGATAATATTCACATAACCTGAATTCCCGTTTTGTAAGTCAAGTATATAACTCCGTGGGTTTGCATATGTTGACACAACCACCGACACTAATTCCAGAACATTTTTATCACCCCAGAAAGAAACCGTACCTCCCAATTCTCCTCTCCCACCAGCTTCTGGCAACCACTAATCCACTTTGTCTCTGTAGATTTGCTTCTTCTGGACATTTCATTTCAATGAAATCATGTATAACTTTTTGTGTCTGGCTTCCTTCACGTAGCATTATGGTTTCGAGGTTTATCCTCTCTGTACCATGTGTCAGAGCTTCCTTCCCTTTGTGTTTTTTTTCCCTAATTTGTTTTTAATTTTATTTTAGAGCACACGAGCAGGGAGAGGGGCAGAGAGAGAGAGAGAGAGAGAGAGAGA